AAAGCCACGTCGTTGCTCAAAGGTTCAGTCCACAGTATCCTCAGCAGCCTTCTGTAGAACTACATTTCTGTTGCTTCAAGTTGCTTATACATCTTTGAGGAAATTGTTCAGCATTCGCTACCATACAGTACTAGGACAGATATCACGTAACAGTTCAATACTATTTTCTCTGTTTCTAAGGAAATTCTTCTATCTAATCTCTGCTTAGCTTTTAGAAAGCATCTTTGCCATCACTTCGTCTTCGGGTTAGAACACTAGATATTTAAATTTTTGTGCTTGATTGATTTTAATATCTTCGATTTTTAATTTGTATTTTGTGCTTATTCTTTTGCTAATAACCATGCATTTTGTCTGCTTGCAGTTTATGTTTAGTCCTTTCTTCTAGCTTTCATTCATTACCTTCTGCAGGAACTTTTATAGTTTTCTTTCTGTGTCTGCTATCAACATTGTGACATCTAATTCTTTCAGAATTGCCTTGTTGTATAGATTGAATAAGTCCGGTGAGAAGACACATCCTTGTCATACACCCCTTTCTATAATTGTATAATTGCTGAATTCATTATCTATCCGTATGCAGGCGATTTGCTATTCTTATGTCCTCCCCAAATATGTCTAGATTGCTGAGCAATTCCAACAGATCTTCGTGGTGTACTTCATCAAACTCCTTTGCGTAATATATAAAGCAGAGGTATATGTCCTGCATTTGTATTGCTCTTTCTGATAACATTCTGAGAATAGATATTGCGTTTCTTGTTCCAGTGTAATTTGACGAACACGCGCTGTTCCTGTCCTATTTCTGGTTAGATTCTGCTGTGGGCTCTGTTTATCAGAATTTGGATGATGAGTTTTGTTAAATAGCTCAATAGACTGATTGTCCGATGGAGTTCACATTTTTTTGCACTTCGTTTCTCAGGCAATGCTATGAAAATATATCTACTTAGGTCATCCGGTATATCGTCAGTGTTGTAGATTTCATTTATTATTTATGTAATCGTGTCTATGACGAAATCATCTAAGACTGCCAGCATTTCTACTATAATTCCGTCTGGCCCTGCCGCTTTGTTTCTGTTCAATTTGGCCAGTGCAGATTCCACTTCAGATTTTAATAAGAAGGTCCGTCGTTATTTCTGTGCATTGCCGGTTGTTCTCTTTTGTCGTGAAAGATTTCTCCGATATATTCGTTCCATTTTTAAAGTATTTTTTCTTTCCCTAATATCAGCGTTCCGTCTTTGGATTTTATGCAGCCAGTTGATGAGCATATCTTTTGTCATGTTCTCTTATTTGTTATGCTTTATCTGTGATACTCTTTCTATGTGCAGAAGCATATTTTTCGTTGAAATATTCTTCTTTAGTCTGTCTGCGTGCGTTCCTTATTTCTTTGTTTAGCCTCTATATTTTGTTCATGTTTTGGCTTTGTTTTTTGTATCCTTTTCATCATGTTGAGAATCTAATCTGTCTTCCATTCATTTTTTTTTTTCTTCGCCTATTTTCCTTTGGGATGATCTCGTTTGCTGATGTTACTTAAATTTCTCTTGATCTACCTAACTTCCAGTTTTACAATTTACTTCCTTTTGTCCTTCGTATCTGATTTTCCCGCTGTCCATATATTTCTCCTTCAGATTCGGGTGGAGCATTTGTATTCTTAATATTTGCTTAGGTGCGAAACGGGTAAAAAACAGCCTTCAAATCGTAAAGGCTTGTCTGTCTTGAAAATCAGATTTTGACACTTGCTTTCGATTTATTTCAATAAGAAATACACAACTATCTCGGCCTCCGAGCACACTACAGATTGTTTTCAAATGCTCATTTTCAGTGGCTTTAATTTTCTTGATTTTTTATTTGATCTTTGTATCTTATGATGCTTAATCGAAATCAGCATTTATTATTTACGTCCAAGTGAAGGCAGACTTCGAAAAGTGATTATAGTCTAACATCATCCTCTCCATCTTAAGCACTCACGTATTTTAGTGATATCTCAGATACAATGTTTTCTTTCGAATTTTTCAAATAACTCTTTTACTTAACAGAATTTAATAAAATAAAACAATGTTTCTATAAAATCCAATTTGAAGCAAACAGAGGTTTTCTTGGAATGTTGGACAATTCCTGTTCCAAAGAAATCAAATCTTAAAAAATTCGAATAAATTAAACACTAATTCCTCGAAATTTCCATTCTTAATTTCATCCTTATTCTTTCATAGCCAATCGCAAAAGACGTGATCTATAGAAACTGCTTTCATTTATTTCAGAAATGATGCCATGGCTATTTTTCTTTTTGTGTATATTTTAGAAACCCGTCTCATTTAAATGAGTTGAAAGCATGAGTTGCTGTTATTAAGTTAGTTTTCGGGCAAACGCATTGAAGAACACAATTTCTCTAATCTTTTGTATTGGCAGTGATTTATTACGAAATTATGACAGGAAGAATAAATTCTAGAAATATTACCGATTGCAGCATTGGTAAAAGTTGCCGTTCCGCTTCTGAATGGTGAAAAATGGAATTTTTATTTTTATGTGGAAATAGTTTTTGTGGGTTGATATTAATGTGATTGAATACTATATCTATTCCTTTTTAAGATATAACCCCCTCTTACACATACATAACTAGAGGAAAATAATCCATCTTCATTAATTTGTGCAGAGAGAAGGAAAAGGAAAAAAAAATTTTCAGAAGGAGAAACAAACAAAAAAGCGCGTTGGCGTTATAATGTTGTCCCAGGAGAGAAATACTCATCCTTATTGAAATTCTGTTTGTTGATACGGGGGAGGGGGATAATAAATTTGACCGAAATTGTGAAAGAACTAGTTTTGTTTATTTCACTTAAGCATCACAGATTTACAAAACTACAAACTGGTCAGAAGAGATGTAATACTTATATTTTATTAAATATAAGTATTACATCGGTCTCCATCGAAGATTGCAAGCCAACACGTTGAGGTGCTGAGAGTCCTTGTTTCAGGATTTACAAACAGAAAGGAAAGGCCAATAATATTTCAAGTTTCATCAATATATATCATAAATAATATTTAAGGATCATGCAGTAAACGGAAACTTTGGTTGTCCAGCATAACGCAAAGATGTTATATCGCAACAAACGACAGGCGTCTATAGTTTGTTTAAAAAGTCAACATTTGAAAATGATCTTTAGATTTCATCACTAAATGGCGCTAAAATCATTCATCCTCGGTTTTTTTTCTTGAAAAGTCCTCGAAAATATCAGTCAAAAAATATTTCTGCTATTGTGTATTCCCAGTTTCTGTAGTACATTAACTGAATTCGTACCACAGGCTCAGATTTAGGGTATATTTGTCTTCAAGGAAATTACTTCGGGTTCATTCAGAAAAGGAGAACAAGAGAAGAAAAACTCAGAAAATGATGGGAAAAAATAGACTGAATTTGATATTTGCTAACCAATGTTATCACATCAAATCTGTCACGTGATAAACTTAAAATCATATTCTTAGCTGTACGCAGGCGGTGAAAATGGAAAAAGCCATGTTCAAACATAGAAAAATGTCTAAAGGAAGAGAAGGTGAAAATAAAATAAAACACAGACTCATGAAGAAAAAAAAAATAAAAAAGACAATAAATAAAACTTAAAAGGAAAAATTGGACTGAAAAATTAGAAAAAACGGAGACTGAAAAAAAATGATGAAGGAAAGAAAAATGTTAGCTGTGAGTGAATGAAGAAAGTGACACAATTGAACGAAATTAACAAAAGAAGGAAAAAGGAATAAAATAAAAAAAATAAATATGAAAGAAAATGAAATAAATTGAAAAAAGATGAAATATAAACATTAAAAATCGCAGGTATAAAGAGATGAAATGCAAAATAAAAGGGGAAAATCCAAAAAGGAAGTTTTCAAGCAGGAAAATTAGAAAAAGAAAGCAATTCAGAAAAGAGCCAAACAGAACGTGACAGTTTCAGCCATTATTTTTTGCCTCGTTTTTTTCTTTTTACGATTGCGCATGACAGCGTGAGAAAGTAGCGCCTGTCAAATTCGTTGGCCATTTTGGCACGAAAGCGTATTTTATAGCTGAACCGAAAGCAAGTGATTCAGATTGATAAGAGAAAAGAGACCGCAAAAAGAGTATCCGAAGGAAAAGAAAAAAAAATAGAAAAGTTTGTGTGTGTGTATAATGGGAAAAAGAAAGGAGAAAGAAAGAACGGATGAAAGTTTATTGATGTCTAATCGTTATGAAACTATGGGACATTGTCCCGTTTGTTTTTCGTAGATTTTAGAAGGAAAGGTAGGGATAAAGATGGCCGATTTCTTTCGGATCTTGTCAGAGAGAAAGACAAATATATAACCAGCCTTCGTAAGCATAAGGAAATCGAAAAAAAAGATAGGAATAAATATAAAATTTATAAAATATACAATAAATAATTACTATAAAGGAAGATATGTACTGACTTATATCGAGAAAATGAAGAAAGGGTGAGAGTGAATCAAAAGATAAAAAAAAATCAGACATCAATGCAAGTTAAAGGAAAAAAAGCATAAAGTCGACAGCAAGACGAAAAACTGAAAGACAATAAGAAAAATGAAACTTAAGAAAAGGAGACATGAAAATATATAAAAAGAAAGTAAAATAAAAAAAAAACAAATAAAAGCTAATTATCTAGTAAAGATGTGAAAATCTAAATTTAAGAAAAATAGGAAGCTTTACTGTAAAGAGGAAACGTGTCACAAAAATGAAAGAAATCAAGGAATAAAATAAAGAAAGATAAACTCAGGATGGAAATGATTAATTTTACGGCTTATCAACATTTTGCAGTTTGTTTAAAGGAAGTAACTTTGTAGATTGTAAGATTTCTTTTGGAGGGAATGTTTTATTGATATAAGTTCTAATTTATCAATAGCTGGGGGAGAGAAGTGCTGGATTTATATCTTTCTTAGGACTATTAGTGCGTAAGTGATCAGAAAATCGACTGGAATTGAAACTCTAATTACCAATTCCGAGCCGTAATCCATTACACTACCCGCACATCCACAATTACGGCATTTAATATTCCCAAGTGGTCCGCCATCTTACTACTGACCAGATTCGACGTTGCTTAACTTCGGTGATCGTACGAAAAGCGGTGTTTCAACGTGATGTGGCCGTAAGCTAGAGCATGTAAAAGAAGCGAAAGTTGCATATCATAGAAAACAAGGGAACAGCATCAATGCACAGAGTAGGTGAAAAGTACGGCTAAAATATAAATAAATAAGTAAATAACAAAAAGAAGTATCTGTAAATAGTGTCCATTAACAGAGTTTAACCATAATCATTTCCAAGTTCAAGGAGCCATCTTTCAACAGTTTCGCCTAAAAAGAAATAAATGCATTAATCTTATATGAAACTCTTTTTCTATTTGATTTTTCATTGATGTTTCTTTATTTGAATGATTGGAGGAGAATGTAGAGGCAAGAGGCGCCTCTGCCTGCCAATTTAGGCCACCCTAGGGATGACAATTGGTGCCGTTTCGTCTCATTCACGATACGGTTAAGAATGCGGAACGGAAGACCATCAATCTTCATGAAGAACCAATTGAAAATGAACGAATCAATAAAAAAATGGATTCCGAGAAGTATGTGGATTGTCAGTACGCAGTTTGCTTATGTACTATCTGAAATTATTTATATTAACGACATTCAATGTTTACATTTATTGATAGCGAACTAGTGAACCATCTATCCATTCATACCTGTAAGTAAGAAATAGAATCCGAACAAAAATATAGAAATGAAACGAAGTGGAAAACGTTTTTAATGACGACGCGTTTAGCTTTTTTTGTGGTATGTTAGCGTCTTTAGGTCCGAATCTATTCCCCCTCGAAAACGCCAACCCATGATATGTAATTACAAAAAGAAATTAAAAAAAAAGCAAAAACACACCCACTGTTTCTCGCTGCTTCATGTTTTGCTGATATATAAAATAGTTATTTATTTATTTGGGATCTAAATGTTTATACCTTAAGTAATGGTTACATCTATATGCGCATTTAAGATGAAAGCCGATTTATCTGCGCAGATATAAAAGAAAGGGCAGCTATTTGTATCAAATTTCTGAATTTATAATTTACAAATTAACAATTATGTTACAAAATTCCTTTGTTTAGTAAGAAGTTGTGTAACTGCGTTGAAATCACATTCAGCTACATAAGAAATTGGGAAAGCAATGAAGAAAAGTTTGACAGCTTTAGATACCTTTTAGAAATTTCCTTTTATAGTCAATATTGAATAATGTTTGAAAATTTGAATAAAAAATCGATAAATAAATAAAAAAGTGTTGAAAATTTGGAAAATTGTTAGTGTCAAAGAAGTCCCCGGTGATATTAAGAACAATGATCCACTGTAAAAGTGATATCGAATTTAGATGAATATCTGATATTTTATTCTAATTTTGAAAAAATAGAAGCATTAGCACAATGAGAATTAAATTTAACAGTTAAATAATTTAAAACGAATTCTTGTCTAGCCGTTGAATATACATGCAATTGTTTAATTGATGTTTGTAGATATTTGCTAAGTAGTGGATTTAATTTTATTACTCTTGGTGAATCTACAACATACTATTTATAAAATGAATTAAAAAAATTAAGATAAGGTGATGGAGGTTCATATTTTATAAGAGAGCAAAATGTTATTGAAAAATAATGTCATAAGTTTGATGTTAAAGAATACAACTTAGATCCAGGACATAACTGCTCAATATGTGAATAGTTGCTGGATGAAATGTCATGCCAAACTTTTGATAACTTACAAGAACTTGGAACTAAGATTTCTAACGATATTAATATATTACTTATGTATATAAAATGTTAGAAAAATATTAAATAACACACGTTATTATGTACATTATTTGGACTATTGTCCTCATCTTTGTCGCCATATTTAGCACAAGTCCGGCCATCTTCAGGTGGTTGGGATGTCGAACTGAACCCTTTATTTCGCTCACTGGGGTAGACTGCTCTAGTGCCATGTTTTGACGGATGTCCTGCTAATTTTCCCCCTGAAAGTTCTCCACTGCCTTAACCAGGTATTGAACTCACACTCTTTGGGTCCTGTTACAGGATCTAACCAACGCCTTTATCCACTGTGCCATGTGTCCTTGATAATATCTGGGTATGAATTTATGGGTATTATAAACATAATGACTTCAGCAACCATTTTTACCAGTGCTCATATTGCAATTTTTGCTGTTATCATTACATGTTTTTACCAGAGCTCATATTGCAACTTTTTGTTGTTATCATTGCTTTTTTCTGGCACTCCTTATTACTGGTTCCCATATTGTATTTATTTCTATGCTTCCAACCACCTGAAGAAGGCCGGAGCGTACAACGGCCGAAACGTTGTGATAAATATGGCGACTAAGATGAGGAAAATAGTTCGAATAATGTAAATAATGTATAATACCTCATCTCAGAAATATAGAGAGACTCACAAGTTATTATGTTCAAGGGTCGATTTTTTTTAAAGAAAATCTATTGGTTACCACAGTTTCACGAGATGTTTTGTTTTATGTTAAATTGAAATCTTTTAGGGATTCTTTGACAAAAATATTGAAAAGTAAAATTTAAATATTATAATATTTAAATATTAAACAACAGCATGGGATTATATTGTCAAATCTATTTTTCAAAAACGGTTTGTTTGATTTTTCTAACTCAAGAAAGGCACGAAAGACTTTGAAATTATCTGAAAATTTAATTTATAAAATGTTTATACAATTCCCTTCTACAATTACGAAACAATATTAAAAATTAAGACACAATATTAAACATTCATATTTTTCAACTATCAAATACATATACAGAAAGCTACGTGAAGCTAGATTAAAAAAATGGCATCCATTCTGTGAAACCAGCTAATTTTGAGGGAATGGTAACTGACAAGAACTAATATGACTGGTTATGGGTTACTGTGCCTAAATAAACCTTATTTTTTGCCATGTTTTAAGTAAAAAATATTTTTGTGATCAGAAAAGCATAAAAATAGTGGTGTTGATAACTTTTCTGCAATATATCATTTACACATCTATTTTTTTAGCAGGAAAAAAGGATTAAAGAAAAAAATGGCAGCAAGCAAGTCGTAATGAAAAGATTCTATCTATTTATTGTTTTCTTGATTTGTAGGGGTTCAGGTCATCATCTTACTTCAGAGGGAAAAGAAAAAAAATATACTATATCACTCGCACTCTTTTTATTTTTTATCCTCTCTTTATCTCGCCTACTCTCCCTATATATCTCTCTCTCTCCCTCGCGCGCGTGCGCGTAATCTCTCTCTCTCTCTCTCTCTCTGTTTCTCATGTACTTTCTGTCTATTTCATTCTCTTTCTTTCTCCTTCTCTTTCTCTGCCCTCTATCTCTCTCTCTCTCGCTTGCCCTTCTCACTCTCTTTTCTTTACCAACCTCACGGCCTATCCCGATTCGCGTGAATAAGATTCTCTTTTCCTCTTCCGTTTCCCTCCAACCAATTTCTCATAATGCAAACCATTTCTTCCTTTAACGTAATAAATTCACCCCTCCCATGATTTCTAATTTCTTTCATTTTCCTTCTAGAATGGTTCATTCACAGGAAAGAAGGTAAGTTTATTTTCGCGCCACAATTTTTACAAAACACCATTAATTTATCGTTAAACTATCAATATAACCCGCGTTTGACTGGGGATTTTTGCCGTTCAATTGGAGCAGTTTATATTTAAAGTCAGCCTACCCGAAAATCAATATTATTAACAACAATTGGGTGAGACTGAGGCACATCCCCAAGTGTGTGTGTGTGTGTGTGTGTGTGTGTGTGTGTGTGTAAGAATTTGAATGGGGGCTGAAAAGGGCCGTTTTGCGTTCTTAATCTGGTTGCAGCAGTTGAAGAGACGTTTCTCCTAAGCCGTTGCGTTCTTTGATCAGCAGTTTCAGCCTCACGCGCAGCAGCAGTTAAAAGGGAGTTACTTCTCAGCAGTTGTCCTTTGATCATCATTTTCAGCCTCGCGCGCAGAAGCGTTCAGGTTTGCTCTTCTGGAAAGCCGATAGCTACGTTGATCTTCGGAAACAGTGGCTCTGATTGAAGCATTCCGAGAGGCAAACTGAACGTTCTAAAGACGATTCGTTATCTCTTATTCGCATGACGGACCTGGTGGCGGTGGTTTTGCGACCTAGGCAAGTTCTTTTCTTTGGTGGCATGTCTTAGGCAAGTATGAATTGGCAAATAGAAGGCGTGGGTAAATACAAGAAGAGAACGCTGAAAAGCTACAGGAATAGATTTAGGAAGGTTGTAAAAATAAATGTTGAATAATAAAAAAGCAAGCTTACTAATTACTACGGTGAATGCAATGCAAAAACTAGCAGGACAATAAAAAAATTGTTGGGAACGGCTATAAACGACAATAAAAGCAACGCCTTAAAACTGTAGTAGCAGGCTTTATGCAACAAAAAGGTAACCTCACTAGAGAGAGATTGAACGCTTGGCCAAGAGAAGTGGGGATGTGTAAAAGCAGGGCTGGACGTACAGAAGTAGAAGCGGAATTGTGGAATTAAGAGGTAGCAATGAGTTTAGGACTGCATAGACAATCATTATGATACGGCGACGTTTGATTGGACGTGTAGAGGGCTTTCATACAGGCAATGGGCAACTCGAACAGGTGTCACGTGCATCAGAGCGTGTATCAGCGCGTGAAACATAGCGTGTTGCAGGGCCACACGTACACGCATTGTTGCACGCGTTAATTATCAAGGTCAGCAGCAACCGATGGGCAACGTGTGGAGGTATGAATCACGTCGACACAGCATGAGGTAGGAGTGGAAGGTTATGTGTGAAAAAGTAATATTAGGAAATGTATTAGGCGAATGAAACTGAGAACATGAACAAACAAACACTTGGCAAATGGACACATAGAGTCGCAGAATTAGTGTATTTACTCGCATGCAGACAGAATGGAGACTAAACGTTGAGGTAACGGGGCACATCACTGATGTCTTGCACCAGTAAAATTTATTTACAATTCAGCGGTTGTTTCACAAGAAAAATCACGAAAATAGGATGTCCCTGACAAAAGTTATCTTGCTTGAGGCATCATCACTCCGTCCCACAAAATGTTATTTTGCATGTCTGTTGCCTCGTAGAGA